AGGACCATCCTGGGCCCTAGGATAGTGTATACGCTCTCCTGGCCGAGGCCAGGAAGGTCTATACACCATCCTAGGGCCCAGGATGGCCCTGGCCTGGCACGGCGTTGACGTATAGATGGTCCCGGGCTCCGGGCCCACGGGCCCACCCCCCCAGATGGTATGGTCCCAGGATTCCTCTGGCCCCCCCCCCCAGATTGCATGGTCCCAGGGACGACGACGACGACGACGACGACGACGACGACGACGGCGACGACGACGACGACGACCACGACGACAACGACGACGGCTGCGGCGGCGACGACGCCGGCGGCGGCGGCGGCGACGACGACGATGACGACGATGACGACGGCGACGACGACGATGACGACGACGACGATGACGACGACGACGACGACGACGACGACGAGACGACGACGACGAGGACGACGACGACGACGACGAGGACGACGACGACGACGACGACGACGACTCTGAACCACCACAGCACCACACCACATCCACAGGGGGGGGGAGGGGGGCACCGCAGCGCAGCACCACGCCACGCCCACCTCTGAACCACCACAGCACCACACCACATCCACGGGGGGGGGGGGGCACCGCAGCGCAGCACCACGCCACGCCCACAGGGGGGGGCGGGGGGGACCATCGCGCGGGGGGGGGGCCCAATGGCATCAGCATTGGGGGGGGGGGGGCAAGCCCTGGACCATAGATGCCTTCGTCGGACCTTTGTCTTTTCGCATTGGCAGAGGTCAGCAGCCGGCGCAGGCGAGCGGCCACTCGGCCATGCTGCGGCGGCCGCCTTCAATGACGGCGAGGAGAGCACGGGGCGCCCCCACCCCCGCCAGCGGAAGGGTCCTCCGCCTGCTCCTCCGCCTGCTCCTCCTCCTCCTGCTGCTCCTCCTCATCCTCCTCCTGCTCCTCCTCCTCCTCCTCCTTCTCCTCCTCCTCCTCCTCCGCCGCCGCCGCCTCCTCCTCCTCTTCCTCCTCCTCCTCCTCGACCTCCTCGTCCTCCTTGTCCTCCTCGTCCTCCTCGTCCACGTCCTCGTCCTCGTCCTACTCCTCCTCCTCGTCCTCCTCCTCCTCCTCCTCCTCGTCCTCCTCCTCCTCCTGCTCCTGCTCCTCCTCCTCCTCCTCCTCCTCCTCCTCCTCCTCCTCCTCCTCCTCCTCCTCCCTCTCCCCCTGCTCCTCCTCCTCCTCCTCCTCCTCCTCCTCCTCCTCCTCCTCCTCTTCCTCCTCCACCTCCTCCACCTCCTGCTCCTCCTCATCCTTCTCCTCCTTCTCCTCCTACCCTCCCGACCCCGTCGCGTTGCGCCCCCCCCAAAAAAAACCACGGACAGTTGTTTGTGCTATGTTCGGCCTCCGGGGCCCCTTACCGAGCCCCGCAACCGTCAAACCAGGGGAGGGAGGTCCAGACCTCTGGGGGTCGACGGTGTGGAAAAATGAAGACATCGGGGGTCGGGGACAGGCCCGATCCCCATCACGATCCCGACCCTCCTCACCCCCTGCTCCGAGTGCACACGCGTGCACTCGGAGCAGCATCGTCAACTGACGTCCTCAGCACCAATCGGGGATCTACTGACCCGGGTCAATCCAGATCCGGGTCAGTCAGGCTGCGCAAGATCCTACAAGGTCCTGCAAGATCCTGCAGGATCCTGCACCCAAGCCCAGGATCCTGCAAGATCTGGCGCTGGGAGTGACCCCCGTTTGCATTAACCCCCGCATTTTGAGCCCCGAACCACTCAAGCACGGCCTCACCGACCCGTAGCAAACCATCCCCTTCCGTGACGCCATCCTCGCCATTCGAGCTCCTCTCTGGCTGCATACATGCGTTTTGGGGCGAGGCGAGGCGGACGTCACGGAAGGGGATGGTTTGCTAGGGGTCGGTTTAGAAGAAGAACAAAAAATGTAAACATACTCTTTTGGCGCTCCGCGCGGATTTCTTGGATCCGCACTGGACCCCCTTCACTGGCGCGCGGAACGTGCCAGGGGCGGCGCTGGAGGCGCAGCCCTGGGGGCCCAGCGCGGATCCAAGAAATCCGCGCGGAGCGCCAAAAGCTTATGTTTATGGCTCAGGCCGCCCCGAACCATCTGAGGGCTACGGCCCTGCCGCCGAGCTCCTGTAGGGGCTGCCCGCCGGGATGATCGGCCCTCCGCTCCGCTCCGCCCTGCCGGCGGGGCAGAAGACGCCCATGGCCAGCGAGAGGCGAGCAGGTCCCCACGACTCCTGGGCCTGCGAGGCGAGCAGAGGCCCAGGGCCAGGATGTCTTACGTAAGCCGAGATGTCGTCAGGTGGCAAGTTCTGGGAACCCTCCTCATCTTCCTCTCGCTCTGTCTTGGCAGTTCTCTCGATAGGATGCCGACGGGCTGTCGAGTCCTTGCTGCATAACGCTCCCGCAAGGGAAGTGCGCATACGCTCTACACTGCACCGTAGCGGGCACATTGACGTTGACCCCCTCATGCGGATGTCATGTCCTGTCCTCTCCTGTCCTGTCCTGTCCTGTCCTGTCCTGTCCTGTCCTGTCCTGTCCTGTCCTGTCCTCCTCCTCCTCCTTGTCCTCCTCCTCCTCCTCCTCCTCCTCCTCCTCGTCCTACTCGGCCTCCTCGTCCTCCTCCTCCTCCTCCTCGTCCTCCTCCTCGTCAACCTCCTCCTCTTCTTCCTCCTCCTTGTCCTCCTCCCCCTCCTCCTGCCTCCTCCTCCCCCTCCTCCCCCTCCCCCTCCTCCCCCCCTCCCCTCCTCCTCCTCCTCCTCCTCCTCCTCCTCTTCCTCCTCCTCCTCCTCCTCCTCCTCCTCCTCCTCCCTGGTCCTGGTCCTCGTCCTCGTCCTCGTCCTCGTCCTCGTCCTCGTCCTCGTCCTCGTCCTTCCTCCTCCTCTTCCTCCCTCGTCCTCCTCCTCCTCCTCCTGCTCCTGCTCCTCCCTTCCTCCTCCTCTTCCTCCAACCCTGCTTCTCCTCCTCCGCTCTTTCCTCCGCCTCCTCCTCCTCCTCCTCCACGCATGTTCCTTATCAGTATCTCCTCCCTGTCGCACCACGAGGCGTGTCGGCAGGGCGGGTAGGGCGTTTGGCTAGAGACTTCCTCACCATGCATGATCGTTAGGCTGAACGCCTGCGAGAGCACGGATGGAGGGCAGCCCGCTTTCGAAATGTGGCTCTGGCCTCTGCGCCGCGCACCTCCGCCTTAAAGGTGTGCACGAGCTTCACGGATTGAGGGCGGTCCGCTTTCAAAATGGGGCTCTCGCCTCAGCGCCGCGAAACGTCGCCTTCGCAAGTTCCAGGAACTTCGCGGATGGAGGGCGGAATGTGGCTCTCGCCGTAGCGCCGCGCACAGTCACTTTAAGAGTTTACAATAGTTACAAAGATTATCATGGCTCCCGTCCCATAGTAACGTTTTGGCACTATGTCGGACTGTCAGGGCGCACCAATTACGTCGATTCGCGGTGTTGAAGTCCCAAGGAAGGTGCTGATTCACGATCGTCACGGGGCAATAGCAACGGTGAGTCGGTGCGTTGAAATCCCAGGAATGGTGTTCTGGCCCAGTTCCGGAGATTCACAAGGTGTATTCCAACGGAGCACTTTCCTCAGTGAAACTACATCCGTGCAGAGGCCTATGAAGAGGGAAATGGGGGGGATGGTTGATTACACTTGTTTTGATCCTCTCATCATGAGCCTTCCCTTCTCCCAATCAGTATCGTCGTCAACATCATCAGCATCAGCATCACCAGCATCAGTATCATCAACATCCCCATCACCAGCATCATCATCATCAGCAGCATCATCAGCATCATCATCATCATCATCATCATCATCATCATCATCATCATCATCATCATCATCATCATCATTATCATCATCATCATCAGCAGCAGCAGCAGCAGTAGCAGTAGGATCATCAGCATCATCAGCATCATCACCATCAGCATGATCAGCGTCGTCATGATCTTCATGATCGTCATCGTCCACAAACTCAGCATCATCATCGTCAGCAGCAGAAGCGTCATCATCATAATCAGCAGAAACATCATCAACAGCAACAGCAACATCGCTATCACCATCACATAATCAGTGTCGCCGTTTGTCCATCATCGTCAGCAGCATCAGCAGCATCGTCGTCGTGATCATCATCATCATCATCAGCATCATCATCATCATCATCATCATCATCATCATCATCATCATCATCATCATCATCATCATCATTACCATCATGCTCGTCATCATTCTCAGCATCGTCACCGTCGTTGACACCATCGCAATCATCACCATGATCAGCATCAGCATCCATCATCCTTACCATCACCGCATCCATAAGTAGCGTCGCCTGCTCCATCATCATCACCATCATCAATACCTGTCATCATCAGCATTAGCATGTTCAAACTCACTATAATCATACTCATCTGCATGAGAATCATCGTCATCATCAGCATCGCCATCATGATCCTCATCAGCATCATCAGTACCATCATCAGTGTTCATGACCATCATCACATACATACCTACCTCAATCACCATCGCCAACACCAGCATCATGATTAACAGCAGCTTCACCGCCATCGGCATCATCATCATCAGCATCACCACCATCACAGTATGCATCATCCTCAGCATTTTCATCTTCAGTTGCATCCGCATCTGCAGTATGCATCATCAGCATCAGCAGCATCAGCATCGTCATCAGCATCATCAACAACAGCATCAACATCAGCAGCATCATCATCACCGTCACCATCACCATCAGCATCAGCATCATCAGCATCATCAGCGTCATCGTCATCGTCATCGTCATCGTCATCATCGTCAGCATCGTCATCGTCACCGTCATCTTCGTCGTCATCATCATCCTCATCATAACAATCATCCACCTGTTCCTCCTCCTCCCCGCCCTTCCTCATCATGCCCCTCCTCATCCTCCATTTCCTCGTCCTCCCCATGCTGTGGTCCCTTCTTCTTCCTCCACCTCCTCCTGGAAGCAACCAGGAAGTGGGTGTCGCCCGCTCGCGAGCCTCACCCGCTCGCGAGCCTCAGGGCGCGGTGGAACTGGGCCGCGTAGTGGTCGATGGCCTGAGCAGCGGCTCCCCGCCGCGACAAGAAGAGGGAGAGGAGGCAGGGGGAAGCGGGGAGGAGAGAGGGAGGAGGCGGAGGAGGAGGCGGAGGAGGAGGCAAGAGAAAGGGAGAAAACAGAAAGCGGCCTGAGATCACGGGAAACAACTGACAGACCTCATCGCCCTCGTGCTCCGAGGCATCCTTGGGATCCTGGGGGGGGGGCTTTCCTGGCGCCCTCGCCGAGGGCCCTGACCGCGACAAGGTCGCGCCCCAGAAGGCGAGCGCTAGCAGGACTTCCTCGCGGGAGCCATTGGCCGGCGGCCTGGCGCCTCCCTGCGGGGGCGGAGGAGGAAGAGGAGAAAGAGGAGGAGGAGGAGGAGGAGGAGGAGGAGGAGGAGGAGGAGGAGAAAGGGGGAAGGAGGAGGAGGAGGAGGAGGAGGAGGGAAGGAGGAGGAGGAAGGGGGGGAGGAGGAGACGTTTCTGGGACGTTTCCCGTGGCGACTGAGATCGCGCGGGCGGAGGAGGAGGAGAAAGAGGAGGAAGAGGAGGAGGAGGAGGAGGAGGAGGAGGAGGAGGAGGAGGAAGGGCGAGGAGGAGGAGACGTTTCTGGGACGTTTCCCGAGGCGACTGAGGTCGCGCGGGCGGAGGAGAAGGAGGAGGAGGAGGAGGAGCGGGACGAAGGGGGAGGGGCAGTGCAGACCTGGGAGGACCCGAACCGTCACCAGTTCCCTCGCAGCCTCGCAAAGGCCACAGGAGCAGATCAAGACTTGTGTTGCTCTCATCGTACTTAAGGACCACATCCCGCAAATCATGTCAAGCACCCAGACAGGTATCGAAACGGTGTCGAATGAGTATCGCCTCCCAAGGCCCGACACGTGAAAACCCGCAATTTTCAATACAGTCTTGCTGCTCGAAATTATTCCTGGTGGTCAAGACCAAAGTAAGTTGGAGCATCATAAATCAACGCTAGATGCTTGGCAGTAGCTCGATAGTGGGGGTGCTCCCCCCTTGATGCGCTTCAGCCGAGACTTGGCCTGAGGCGATCTGTGGCGCCCCTTACACACCGACATCAGAAGCTGCCCGAACCCAAAGCCTTTAGCAGGCTCCGCACCAAGCACAGTACACAAAGGCAGTACCCGCCCGCACGCTGCGCAGATTCGATCCCGCAGAGCATCAGGGCATGCCCTTTCAAATTGAAGGCAGAGGTGACCACGTCGGCGCAGTTCAACGCCCCCCCTCCTCCTCCTCCTCCTCCTCCTCCTCCTCCTCCTCCTTCCTCCTCTCCTCTTCCTCCTCCTCCCTCCTCCCCTCCGTCCTCCTCCTCCAGCTCCTCCTCCCTCCTCCCCCTCCTCCTCCTCCTCCTCCTCGTCCTCCTCCTCCTCGTCCTCCTCCTCCTCCTCTTCTTCCTCCTCCATTCCTTTTCCTTATAGACAACTTCTCCCTGTCGCACCCCGAAGCCAGATTTTAGCGAGGGCCGAGCGTTTCGCCTGAGACTTCCTCACCACTTCTGACTCTGAAGCTTAGAAGGTTGCAACAGCTTCACAGACGGAGGGCGGGTGGTTTTCAGAATGTGGCTCTCGCCTTAGCGCCGCGCACATTCGCTTTAAACAATTGCAAGAGTTTCGCGGATTGAGGGCGGGTGGTGTTCAAAATGTAGCTCTCGCCTTGGCGCCGCGCACATTCGCTTCAAACAAGTGCAAGAACTGCGCCGATTGAAGGCGGGGGGGTTTCAAAATGTAGCTCTCGCCTTAGCGCCGCGTGCATGCGTTTAACAATAATTGCGAGTTTCACGGATCGAGGGCGGTTCCTTTTCAAAATGTGGCTCTTGCCTTAGCGCCGCGCACATTCGTTATAAACACTTGCAAGAGTTCCACGGATTCCCATCATCAACGTACCAGAAATGGTGTTGTGGAAGATTTCAGGATAATGCTGGTGCAACAGTTATGTTGATTCTCTGTGAAGTCCTAAGAATGGCGTTCTGGCACGATTCAGGATCATCAAGACGCAACAGTCACGTTGATCCGTGGCGTCGGAATGCCGAGAACAATGTTTTGGCGGGCCCCCAGGAGGGCTCGAAGAGGCCAGAATCGTTGGTTTTCCGTTGGTTTTTGAAGGAGTTTGGCATTTGCCTCTTCTGGGCATTCCGACGGCTCAAGACGGCCCAAGAGGCCGCCAAGATCGCCCCACCATCGCCCACGAGGCCTCCAAGAAGGCCCCATGACGGCCCAAGAGGCCTCCAAGGCGGCCCCAAGAGGGCCCCCAAGACAGCCCAAGAGACCTCCAAGACGCCCAAGATGGCCTCCAGGATGGCCCCGAAGCGCCCCAAGAGGACCCCAAGTCGGCCCAGAGAGGCCCGGCCGAAATTGGCTCGAAGCTGGCCCAAGACGGCCCAAGAGGCCTCCAAAAGGGCCTCCAGGAAAGCCGGAAACGGCCAAAAACATTCGTTTTCCAAAAGGTTTTGAAGAATTTTGGCATTTGCTTCTTTTCGGCCTTCCGACGGACCGAGACGGCCCAAGAGCCCCCAAAGATCGCCCAAGATGCCTCCAAGATGGCCCAAGAATGGCCCAAGAGGCCCCCAAGACGACCCCAAGAGGCCCCCAAGACGGCCCAGGAGGCCTCTAAGACGCCCAAGATGGCCTCCAAGACAGCCCTGGAGCACCCCAAGAGGGCCCCAAGTCGGCCCAGAGAAGCCCCGCAAACGGCTTCGGGCCAGGAGCCCACCAAGACGGCCGAAGATGGTCCTAAGATGGCCCAAGACGGCCCAAGAGGCCTCCAAGAGGGCTTCCAGGAAGGCCGAAAAAGGCCAAAATCATTAATTTCCCAGGAGTTGTTGTCGGATTGTGGCATTTGCTTTTTTTCAGCCTTCCGACGGCCCGAGACGGCCCAAGAGCCCAAGAGCCCCGAAAGATCGCCCAAGAGGTCTCCAGTATGGCCCCAGAACGGCCCACGAGGCCCCCAAGACGGCCCCAAGAGGCCCCCAAGACAGCCCAAGAGGCCTCCAAGACGCTCAAGGTGGGCCCCAAGACGACCCTGGAGCACGCCAAGAAAGGCCCAAATCGGCCCAGCCTCGCCCACCGTGTTTCCCGAACGCTTTCCAAACCGATTCGGGGAACACATAATCCGATAGCTTGGCAGGCCTCTGGCCACAACGTTTGGCCACATAGGCGTTTCCAAAAAGGCAGGGGGCGGCAGTGATTCGCCGTAGGCGTCTTCGATAACGCCAACGTCCCAATACGCGCTGATGATTCCTATCCACCCCCACATGATGTTCCCAGATGCGCCAAGGCAGCGCCAAGAAGCACCGACGCGACTCTGATATATCCCATTATGATAAAGAGGGGGCCGGCGGCAGGGGGCGAACCCCTTACGGATAATGTTGCACGGGCCGATGAAAAAGAGCTTATTGCAACATCGTTGGCGCGCCTTTGGTTTACACTGGTCCTCCTCCTCCGGTTCCTCACCCTGCCTGCTCTGTATCCTATTCCTCTCGATCTTCATCCTCCAATATCATCATCTTCCTCCCTCCTCATCCTCCTCCGTCTCCGCTCAAGCACATGCATTCTGAGGGTCGTGCATAGCATTGAGGCTATCGTCGGGCCTCGCTGTCGCGCCCGCCGCCTCCACGTAGTGCTTGAAGGGCGCCGAACCGTCGGCATTCGTTTGCGGATGTTTGCGCTGGCAAAGGCGGGCAAATTGCAAATTGCGGATGTGGTGGGCAGTCATTACGGTTGCCCGTAGTTCAGCCGAGTGTCGCATTTTCTTGGTTGGGGATATTCTGCCCTCCCTGGAGGTCAGAGCGCGAGGCTTTTTTATCGTTGTCGCATACCGCAGGGACTGGGTGGCTGTAATCAAGTTTGGGTGCGGTTGTTCATGTTGCAATTTGGGTGCATTCTGCCATTCATGGCTGTCGGAGTGTGAAGGGTTCTCTCCCCACTCACCTAAGGCAGGGGTTGAGTGGCAGTGTTATTCTCTCGAATATGGGGTCGCACTCGCATCCTCCAGGTGGAGTGCCATACTCAATAGCCTCGGAGACGTGCGCATTCAGCTACAACACGCATCATGGCGATATGTGCGTTTGCCAAGCAGCCATGTCCACGTCCCCATGCAGAGTGTCACGGCGATCATCATTCATGCGCCTTGCTGCTCATCGCGCGAAAAAACGGTTCGGAGTTCCGTGTTCGTTTTTGAAGAGTTCAACCCGTTGCACTTGCACTTGAAGTAATGCAGGGCTTGCTGGGGGATGAATCTGAATTTGGCTGAGAATATGTTTGCTTCGTCACTATTAGCATGCGGGCCTCCTGAAACATGGTGAACTCAACTGGTCTAGTGTCGTTTGTGGGAAAGGACATGCCTTGGTAAAGTGTGCGGTTCGTAACTTTCTGTTTCACGCGGTGTCCGTGTTCATTGCCTGTGCAGCTTGAATCGCTTGGGGTTGCCCCTTCGGTGGCCGATTCGTTCGGCACTTTTTGCAAGACTCCCGTGCACCTCTCGCGGCGGTGTGGCATCATGGCATCATGGCGATTCGCGCGTCGCTCGTCTACGGGCTGCTCGGCGTCCAAGATCCTGATGAACTCACAAGCGCTCATATTCCCACAGGTGTGTTCCTAAGCCCTCGTGGTCGTCAATTGCCCGCGGACCCCTCCGCAGAGATTCGCATCGCGAATGAACACATTCCATCCCATTCCATTCCATTACATTTCATTACATTCCGTTCCATCCCATGCCATTCCATTCCTTCCCTTCGTCTACGCCAGCATCCAGGAAGCCAGGATGGGGAGCACCTTAAAACAGACATGCCGTTTTGAAGTCTGGGTTGTCCTGAGTGGTGGACAAGTATGCTATGGGGGTTTTCGTGACGTAATCTTGGGAATGCCGCCATGGCTCACCATTTATCTCAGCGGAATTGGTCTGCGCCCACGGCTAGTATCTCGAGAATCCCCCTCTTATTCCTCGTCTTCGTCCGCCTCTTCCTCCTCCATCCTCCTCCTTTTTTGCAAGGCCGCGGCGCGGGTCTGCCGCGCGCGCCCGAGCTTGCGCCCCCACTCTCCGTCTCCAGCACGGCGCCGAGCCAGTAAACCCCTCCCTCCCTTCCTCCCTCCTCCCTCCCTTCGTCCCTTCCTCCTTTCTCCCTCCCTTCGTCCCGTCCCACCTTGGCATACTTCCCCCTGCCTCATCCCGCCCGCCCGTTCCCTCCGCCCCGGCGGCCAGCCCCGGCGGTCCTGCACCACCCCGTCGTCGGCAGCCTCGCGCGCACGGCGTTCTTCGGCGAGGCCGTCCTGAGCGGCGCCCTCGTCGTCGCCCTGTTCCCTCTGTTCTTCCTCCTCCTCCTCCTCCTCCTCCAGCTCCTCCTCCTCCTCCAGTTCCTCCCCCTCCTCTTCCTCCTCCTCCTCCTCCTCCTCCTCCTCCGCCTCCGCCTCCGCCTCCGCCTCCGCCTCCTCCTCCTCCTCCTCCTCCTCCTCCTCCTCCTTCTTCGTAATCCGCCGACCCCAGAGGCGTTTGAGGGAAAACGCTGTTTGGATCCGCCTATCCTGAACCGATCCCCCCCCATTCACCCCTCCCACACCCCCCTCCTGGCCCCGCCACCCCCCTGCCCCACCACGTCCCGACACCTCCGTTCCACGGCAGCTCTGTTCTTGGCATCCCCTTTCCCATATTTTCTCGCCCGGAAGCTACCGAGGCCCCCCCCGTCGCCACCACCACGCCCCGACACCCCCATCCCACGGCAATTCTGTTTAAGGAACCCCCACCCCACAATTTCTCACGTAAAACCGACCGATACCCCCCTCCTGGCCCGAGCATCCCCACCCCACGGATCCTCTGTTCTTGGGGCCCCCCACCCCACAATTTCTCACCCGAAACCGACCGATACCCCCCTCCTGGCCCCGGCATCCCCGCCCCACGGAACCTATATTCTTGGGGCCCCCCACCCCACAATTTCTCACCCAAAACCGACCGATGCCCCCCTTCTGGCCCCGGCATCCCCACCCCACGCCCAATCCGACCGATACCCCCTTTTGGCCCCGGCATCCCCGCCCCACGTAACCTCTGTTTGTGGGGCCCCCCACCCCACAATCACTCGCCCAAATCAAACCGATGCCCCCCTTCTGGCCCCGGCATCCCCCCAAGAACAGAGGTTCCGTTGGGTGGGGATGCCGGGGCCAAGAGGGGGGTATCGGTCGGTTTTGGGCGAGAATTTGCGGGGTTTGGGGTCCCAAGAGCAGAGGTCCGGCGGGGTGGCGATGCCGCGGCCAGGAAGGGGGCATCGGTCGGTTTTGGAAGAGAAGTTGCGGGGTGGGGGGCCCCAACAACAGAGGTGCCGTTGGGCGGGGATGCCGAGGCCAGGAGGGGAGCATCGGCTGGTTTGGGGCGAGAAGTTGTGTGGGTGTGGTCGGGGGGCCTCAGTAGGCAGCGCGCTGGAGATGCCCTGGGCGCGCTTGGGGCCAGTGGGGCGCGCTGGCCTCTCTTGGCGCGCTGGGGCCCCTCTTGGCGCGCTTGGGGCCTCTGTGGGCGCGTTTGGGCCTCTGTGGGTTGGGCCTGTGCGGGCGCGCTGGGACCTCTTTGTGCTGTGCCAGAGGGCTTCAGTGGGCAGCGTGCAGGGGCCTCGGCGCGCTTGGCGCCCACCATCATCACCATCAGCATCAGCATCAGCATCATCATCAGCATCATCATCATCATCATCATCATCATCATCATCATCATCATCATCATCATCATCATCATCATCTTCATCATCTTCATCATCATCATCATCATCAGCAGCAGCATCATCATCATCATCAACAGCAGCATAATCATCATCATCAACATCAACATCATCATCATCATCATCATCATCATCATCAGCATCATTAGCATCAGCATCAGCAGCAGCATCAGCAGCATCGTCATCATCAGCATCAGCAGCATCATCGTCATCGTCAGCATTACTATCAGCATCATCGTCATCATCAGCAGCATCAGCATCCTCATCAGCATCATCATCAACGTCATCAGAATCATACTCATACTCATACTCATACTCATACTCGTGTTCGTCCTTATCAACATCAGCATCAGCATTACCATCATCAGCGTCATCATCAGCATCCTTATCAGCATTATCGTCATCATCATGATCATCAGACTCAACATACTCATCATTTACAGTATCGTCAGCATCATCGCCATCACCATTATCGTCGGCATCATCGACATCATCAACATCAGCATAAGCAGCAGCATCATCACCATCATCAGCATTATCATCATTATCAGCATCAGCATCATCAGCATCATCACCATCATCAACATCCTCATCATCATCATCATCATCATCATCATTATTATCAGCATCACCAGCATCACCATCATCATCGTCAGCTCCATCATCATGACCACCAGCATCATCATCAGTATAATCAGTATAAGCATCATCATCGTCATCAGCATCATCGTCATCAGCATCAGCATCAGCATCAGCATCAGCATCATCATCGTCATAATCATCATGATCATCCGCATCATCCCGTATCCCGCACCCCTTATCCTTCGTCCCTCATCCCGCATCCCTTGCCCCTCGTCCCTCGTCCCTCGTACCTCGTCCACCTACCCCCTGCCCTCTTCCCTCATCCCTGATCCCTCATTCATCCTCCCTGCTTCTCCATTTCTCCTCCCTCATCCCTCGTCCATCCACCCTCATCCCCCCTCCCTCGTCCTCATCCATCCTCCCTCCTCCCTCGCCCCTCTCGTCCCCCCACCCCCCCTCCCCCACCCCTGGAGGAGCAGACCACGGGAGCGCAGAGGCGCGCTCTCCTTGAGCGCCGAGAGGTGCCCGAGGACCGCCTCGCGCCTGGCCGCGACCCCCCTGGGCTCCTGGGCAGGCCGCCGCGGCTGGGGCGCTCCTCCTCCTCCTCCTCCTCCTCCTCCTCCTCCTCCTCCTCCTCCTCCTCCTCCTCCTCCTCCTCCTCCTCCTCCTCCTCCTCCTATAATTAACAATAGTATTAATAGTACCGATAATATTAATATTCATAGTACCATGCCTAATAACAGTCATAACAGAAACTAGTAATACTAGTAAATATGAATAGTAATAGTATATGTTAGTATTGGTATTATGAACGAATTGATATTAATATGAATTAATATGAACATTAATAATAAGTAATAGTAATACTAATAATACTAGTAATGAACATAAAAATACTATTAATATGAATAAAAATAAGGATTCATATTGATATTAATATTAATAGTCATTAATATTAATATTACTATGACCGTGTCCTTACCACTCCTAATAACAGTAATAGTAATATTACTGATCGGATTACTCGTCTTCGTATGATTCGTATTCGTCGTAGTCGTTGTAGTAGTACTGTGTGTTAGTAGTGTGGTGGTTGTTGGTACGACGATTATTGTTATAAGCACTCGTATGATTCTTGTTTACCTTTAGTATTACTAGTGTACCTATTCTAAATATTATTCGTAGCATCATTCGTCTCCGTATTACTTTGATTCCTCCTCCTTCTCCTTCTTCCCTACCTAGGCTCTGTCTAGAAGGGTTCTTACCCTCTAGCTAAAAGTGGCCGGGCAATGGACCCCGCCCTGGGCGGTTCCCCCAGGATCCGCAACGCGGTTCCCCCAGTCCCCAGGGAGCTTTAGCTTTAGCGTTAGCTTTACCTTTAGCTTTAGCGTTGCTTTAGTTTAGCTGTACCATAGCTTTAGCTTAGCTTTAGTTTAGCGTTAGCTTAGAGTTAGCTTAGATTTAGCTTGGCTTTAGCTTAGCTTTAGCTTAGCTTTAGCTGTGATTTAGCTTAGCGTTAGCTTAGCGTTAGCTTGGCGTTAGCTTAGCTTTAGCTTAGCTTTAGCTTAGCTTTAGCTTAGCTTTAGCTTAGCTTCAGCTTAGCTTCAGCTTAGATTTAGCTTAGCTTTAGCTTAGCTTTAGCTTAGCTGTACCTTGGCTTTACCTTAGTTTTAGCTTAGCTTCAGATTTAGCTTTAGCCTAGCTGTACCATAGCGTTAGCGTAGTTCCAGCTTAGCTTCAGCTTAGCTTCAGCTTAGTTCCAGCTTAGCTTCAGCTTAGCTTTAGCTCAGCTGTAGCTTAGTTTTAGCTTAGCGTTAGCTTAGCTTTAGCTTAGCTTCAACTTAGCGTTATCTTAGCTTTAGCTTAGCTTCAGCTTAGCTGTAGCTTAGCTGTAGCTTAGCTTCAGCTTAGCTTTAGCTTAGCTTTAGCTTAGCGTTAGCTTAGCTTAGTTTAGATGTAGCTTAGTTGTAGCTTACCTTTCGCTTAGCTTTAGCTTAGCTTTAGCTTAGCGTTAGCTTGGATGTAGCTTAATGTTAGCTTATAGTACCTTAGCTTGGCGTTAGATTTAGCTTAGCTTTAGCTTAGCTTTAGCTTAGATTCAGCTTAGCTCTAGCTTAACTTCAGCTTAGCTTCAGCTTAGTGTTTGCTTAGCTTTAGCTTAGCTTTAGCTTAGTTTTAGCTTAGCTGTAGCTTAGCTTTAGCTTAGTGTTAGCTTAGTTTCAGCTTAGCTTTAACTTAGCGGTAGCTTAGCTTTAGCTTTAGCTTAGCTTAGCGTTAGCTTAGCTTCAGCTTAGCTTTACTGTTACTACTAATGCTGCTTTCCTAGGGGCTCCAACTCCTAGGTAGGGTCGCACTGGGATATTCATTATCATTGTTAGTCGTAGTATTCGTATTTTTCGTCTTCGTAGTATTGTTTGACTTCTCATTCGTATTCATACTATGCTGATGTCTCGCAGTATTATTGTTCTTCTTTATATGATTAGGATTCGTCTCAGTATTGATATTACTCCTCCTCTTCCTCCTCCTCCTCCTCCTCGTAGGCTGGCTGTAAGGCGCCGCTCGACCCATAGCGTCAGGGAACCTACACGCCGCCGCGTGGAGGCAACAAGCGGTGACGGCAAGAGCTGAAGAGATCGGAAGAAGCCGAGGTTAGGGTGGACGACAAAGGCCCCACCTCCTTCGACGCCTACTCCCCCAGGCGATCCTCCTCCACCTCCTGCCCCCCACCCCACCCCACACCACCCGAGGCTCGACGGTCGACGTTGTTGGACGCTGCTCGCCCTTCCCTGAAGACAGCCAAAGGCCCTGCCCCCTAACATTCTTCCGCTGCGAGGGGAAACGTCAAGGAAAACCCGACTCGGGGGGGACCATCAACCCCGGTTCGGTGATTCATCGCCAATCGATCGGCGATAAGCTCCCGATAGCGAGCGAAGCCACACGGTGCTGGGCGAAGTGGGCGATCGGGCCCCATCGGCAATCAGTGGGCGATTGGGGGTCGATGCACCTCCCCCCGAGCCTATCCCCCCTAAACGCTTCCCCGAAAGGCCCCCCCCGGCTGCGGTGAGGAGCCGTTGCCCACCTTGTCGCGGCGGCGGCCCCTGCAACACGGTGTGCTTTGCAAACTGATGGCGTGACGCTCAGCCTCGTGGGACCGTGGGCTTTGGAAAGCTCGGAATCAGCGTGTCGCGCCGAAGCGTTGCAGGCCAAAACCAGCGGCGCGACGAGTTTCGAAATGGCTCCCGGCCGTGCGACGTGCCCACGACGATCGAGGAAATGGTATCGAGGATACAAAATGTTGGACAACGTCGGCCCTTCTTGGTCCTCCTGAGGCCTCTGCAAGCCTCGAAAGGCCTTCGGGGGCATCTGCGTGACACCCCATCCGTGAGCTTAGCAGAGCTGGCTCGTGTTTTGCGATGGTCAGTGACTCTGGTTTGCTTCTTGCCGAGTTTCGTGCTCCTGTTTGGGCCCCTTACCCACAAACGCCCCCGAGCGCTGAATGTTCGGCCTACACCTGGACTCACCTCATTGCTGTCCCCGAGCATTCCATTGCTTTCGCGGTTTGTGCCAATGTTGTCAAACAAGCTGCTCTCTGGAAAGAGGTAATGAGGTTGGGAAAACGTATGTACCCTGGTGCGTACTTGCAAAATTGTTCTTTCCCTTCCGTGCTGCTTCCCTGTGAGAAGGGTGCTGCTCACGAGGATGCCGGGATGACGAGGCAGCTGGCCTGGGCAGTCGGGAGCGGGGGCGGAGGGTGGGACATGCGCATGATGATGCTGGCGCTAAGCACCGCCGTGACCCTCCACCCCGCTGGTCGTGATGTGCTCGGTTCCGTCGGCAGGCCTGTTCGGATTGCCAGATGCACGGTGCGCCTGGCTGCTCGGATGCTGCTGTTCTGGGACCCGCTAAACTTGTCGGAAGACGAGCTCATCAAAGCTCCACGGGTTCAGCCAGGTCCCTCCCATCGTTGGCGCCAGTGGGCAGGAGTCTGGAGATGCGAAGTGTGCCTCAGGGACAATCACTCGGAGTCTCTCCCAGCCCATGGGCGGTGCCCAGACACGAGCAAGCTGCAAGCTGGCCGTCTTGACTCGTTGGGTCACCGCGTCATCGCTTTCGATTGTGAGGATGACAGCTATGTTTTTACGTGTGTCAAGTGCTACTGCCATTCCAGTGGCGCCAGCGTTCGTGGTCTCGCGTCGCAATGTTCAGCCCCGACTCGGGCCACGAAGGAGGGCTGGCTCACCTTGCGCGAGCACAGCACACACCCTCACTACAGCAAGAAGGGTGTGAAGGTGCATACTGACGGTTTGATTCAGTGCTTCGACACCTGGTGTTGTGCTTTCGAGCCCTCACCGCCGCCAGCTGCAGTCATTTGGCGGAGAAGGGCGGTTGAGTCCAACTGGGGACGCCCACTGTCGCCCAGATGTCCAAGATCCAGGGCGACACTCCCCGGTTTGTCTGTGGAAGTGCCCACCCCTCCCTCTCGCCTGCTTTCGACTCGCCATCCCTCATCTCCTCCTTCCTCTTCCTCCTCCTCCTCCTCCTCCTCCTCCTCCTCCAACCCTCATGTTCTTCCTCCTCGTCGCCCGCCTCGTCCTCCTCCTCGTCCTTCAACTCCTCTGCCTCCTCGCACCTCCTCCACCCATCCTGTGACCTGCACTTCAGCTCCTCCGCACCTGCCTCCTGAAGTCGTCCCACGCCTCCGGCCTCACCTCTCCTGCTCCCGTCGGAGAAGCAGGAGCAGTGAAACAGCAGCGAGGAGAAGGAGGAGGAGTTCCCATGCTCCTTCTCCTCCTCCTCCTCCTCCTCCTCCGCCTCCTCCGCCTCCTCCTCCTCCCTCCTCCTCCTCGCCTCCTCGTCCTCCTCCTGCTCCTGCTCCTGCTCCTGCTCCTGCTCCTCCTCCTCCGCCTCCTCCTCCTCCTCCTCCTCCTCCTCCTCCTCCTCCTCCTCCTCCTCCTCCTATGCATCCTCTGCATCCTCTGCATGCCCCCCTCCTCTGCACTGTAAGGACTTTCAACGCAGATGTCCTCGGCGAAGTGGAGGCGGGCATCTCCAAGAGACCAGGGGTGCTCTGGCTTCTTTGGGGTGGGCCTGGGACACATCAAAATACACCATCCCTGCATCCTCAAAGCCTTAATCTTTTGAGAATTGCACAGCACTTCCGTCCTCGGAACCCGAAACACTCGTAAATGGCACGGTAATTGCGTGACCGAGGCCACGATACCCCGTACTTTATGCAAGATTCGCGGCCCCGAGGCCACGCCCCCCCCCTCTTGTGACGTACGCCATACTTGCGTCCTCGCAGCCAGACTCCACCGAAAGTAACGCAATGTTCGAGTCCTCGAGGCCATCACCCCTTTGGCCTATACAGTAGTTGCGTCACCGAGGCCGGGAGACCTGGCAAGTTACATATGTTCGAACCCTCGAGGCCACGATCCTTTTGTAGCTTACGCTGCATGCGCGTCCCCGAGGCCACGACCCCTAGTTAATTGCGCGATGCTCGCGTCCCGAAGCCACGATTGCCAGCAAGTTCGCAGTGAAGACTCGCCAGAATTCGAGAGATGTTTTTCAAGTTCGCTGCGCAAGTCGTAGCGCAAGCAAGGCAGCCAGGCAGGCGCCCAAACGGCGCACAAGAAGTACATAACACTTCGAACCACACTTAGGTCGGGCGTGTCCCCCTACAGGCGGATCTTGGGCGGGAAATGAAACATGCTCGAAAAAGCAACAGAATAATACTCAGAAACAAAAATCGTCCCCATACAATGTGTTGACTATTCTTGGATATTAACCCTGTAGAGGGGCACGCCCGACTTAAAACTACACATGCGGAAAATGCAGACATGATCAGAAAGCGTACGGGAAAACGCACGCCGCCCACTGTAGCTTCGGGCGGCCACGTTTGCGCTTGCGGTGCCTCTGCCTTGGTGTGTTCCCTCCAGGCTGAGACTTGAGGTCACGCAGGATGTGGCCATCGGGGAGCTGTGAAGTCCCGGCATTGCTTCACGACGGCGCCCTCGCATCCCAACTTAGCAATGGCATGCCCCATTCTCCCATTCTGAAAGAGAGGGGGGCGGCAGTGGGCGAAGCCCTTACGGATATGGGATGCTCGCGCGCGTGGCTTGCCGCCGTCCCCCTCTCCATCCTCCCTCTTCCAGATGAGCACAGAACGACACCACCACCCCGATTTCTTGGACCTGCGATGGGCCCCCCCTCCCTGGCGCGCGGAGCGAGCCAGGCGGCGCCGCCAGGGGTCCGGCACGTCCTCGTCCGCACTGCCCCTTTGCCTTTGCCCCTCCCCCATCCGTCTTTTGGCGGCGATCCGGAGGGGGCAGGGGGAGGGGGGCAGGCTTCTCAGAAGCAGGCTGCTTCCTAGCGGGGGCGCGCAAACATGGATTGGCGATCCATGGATTTGGCGCGCGGTCGCCAAACCCATGGATCGGGGGAGGTGCCCTCCCCAACATGCGGCCGGTGCCGCCTCGCTCGGCGGCGGAAACCCGCGATTTCCCATGGAAACGGGACCCATCGCTAATCCACGCCCCCTTGATCCATGTTTCCGATCGCCTGACTTTTGGCGGCGAGCACGAGGGGGTAGGGGGAGGGGGGAAGGCTTCTCAGAAGCAGGCTGCTTCTTAGAAGGCGCCGGCCCTCAGTACATCTACGGATCAGGCCCGCGCCTTCTAAGAAGCCTTCCCCCTCCCCCATAACCCCCAGACAAGCGACGTCTTGATTCTTTCGATATGCAGTCCCTGGAAGTCCCGACCCTGTCCCCGGGACCGGCTTTTCTTCCTGGTCCGCTTTCTGACGGCCCCAGAGCCCAGCGAAGGCCCCCAAGGCCGAAAATGGCGAAAAACCGCCCGTGCGCACTGTGGCGAGCCCCTGCGCAACCAGTGGGGCTGGGGGAGGGAGGGCAAAGGGCGAAGAGGGGGAGGGGCAGGGGGTCCACCTCCTCCTCCTCCTCCTCCTCCTCCTCCTCCTCCTCCTCCTCCTCCGGGGAGCGAGAAGGGATGGGGGAGGAGAGTGGAGGGAAGGAGAAGGGGTGGGGAAGAGACAGGGACGACGGAGGAGAGAGGGGGGGATGAGGGAGGGGGGGAGGGGACGACGGAGGAGAGATCTGGGAATGGGGCTGGGGCGGGGAAGAGAGGGGCACGAAGCGCGCCTAACTCCACGCAGGCGGGACTAGCATGGTCTTTCTCTTCCTCCATGCTCCTTGATCCCTTCGCCCTACCCCTGCATCGCGTACCCTTTCGCGATCATTGCACTGCTCGACATCCGACTGTGCGAGTAGAGAGGGGATCTGCGCCATGGTAAGGGATGGGAGGGAGGGGTAGGATGTCAGATATGACGCGAGCGCACCTAGCTTGGCCCTACCCCTCCCCTCCTCCCTCCCTCCTCCCTCCTGCCCCCCCTCCCCTCCTCCTGCCGCTGCCGCCGCCTGCCCCCTCCGCCCCCCCCCCCCTCCCGTCCTTCCCCCTCCCATCCTCCCCCCTCCCTCGTCACCCCTCTCCGTCCCCTCCCCCCGCGCGCTCCCCCCCCCCCCGCGCTTACACCTCCCTCTCCCCTCAGATTCCCTCCCTCCCCCCCCCGCGTGTTCACCCTCCCCGCACCGCCCTCTGCCCTCCTCCAACGCAGCGGTCGCCCCCCCCCCCTCCCCCCTCCCGTCTAAGAAGCACACTTCTGACCGCACGCATGCCTGCACAGTGTGCTGGCCAGTCGCCCTTCCCCAAGACACTGTCGAGACGTCAAGGAAGACGAGAGGAGAAGGTACTGGTGGCAAGCAAGCAAGAAAGACGAGCAGGCAGGGAAGACGAGGCGAGACGGCAGGGAAGACGAAGACGAGCAAGCAGCAGACGAGCAGAGACAGCAGGGAAGACGGCCATCGTGCTATCACAAGGAACGCCGGACACAGGGCACGAAGAGGCTCTGTCTGGCCACGGCAAGCCTCGGTCACGAGGAGGTTCCCCGACCTCGATCCGCGAATAACGGTCCGAAAATCAGGGCCCAGTCTGAGCCCAAAGGAGTCAAAGTCGGAATCGGAAGCCTTGGCAGATCAGTTACCTCTGCAGGAGGAGGAGGAGGAGGAGGAGGAGGACGAGGAGGTGGCGCGTATCTCAGCGGCGCGACTGTATGACGTTGACCCTGTCTTTTGAGGGCTGTGCTGAGGGGGGCCAGAGAGGCGCAACTACATACACACGACTCCCAGAATGCCCCCATACATCTCCCTTCTGCTCCTGGATGTTCGTCGCCCCCTCCACACTTCCACGACTCTCCTACCGATTTCCCTGGGCGTCGACGTTTGTGTGTGTGTGTGCCCGAGTGGCTGTCGCCCCTCGTGAATGCTGCGGAGCTCGTCCGATGGCAGCGGCGTCTCCGAGCTCGCGGAGGGGGGGCGGCCTGCGCGACGCTCGCGTCGAGGAGGGCGCCCTGAAGCGTCTCCGCCTGCCGCTCCAGCTGCACGAGGTCCTGCGGGCACGGCGACCAGCGGTCAGCGGGCGACAACCCACCAGAACGGTCGTGGACGAGGAGTGCGGCATCGGGCCCCAGCGACAGCCTGTTCGAGGACATGGACGGCACGATATGGAAGGCTGCGGGCTCGTGTCAGAGGAGGTGCAGTCGGTGGCGACTGCACATGCAGTCAACCCGTATATAGGAAGCATGCGCGGTAAGGATGCAAGGACCTTGGAGGGCCATGTTGACGTTATTCGGACGAAGTTGGCCAGCGAAAGTCGCTGAGGATGGGTCGAAGGGGCAAGGATGCAAGGGCAGCCTTGGAGAGCTGCCCATCCTTGCTAGCGAGGGTCGACTGTACCAGAACACCCCAAGGCAACCCAGGAAGTCCCAAATGTCAGGTTCGGGGGGGTGCGGCACGGGCTCCATGGATGCCCCCCCCCACACTGGGAGTGGAGGGCAACCTGGGGCCCTCGGGTTGGGCTGGGACGGTTTGGTGGGTGGTGGCGGGAGGCCTCCTCACAATCAGCAGCAGCAGCTGATGCGCCAGCATCGGCATCGGCAGCGACCTCGTCATCACGATCGCCACCACCGCCAGCACCAACATCGTCACCATCGTCACCACAGGCATCATCCGCCTCATCGCCATCATTTTGACATCATCATCATCATCATCATCATCATCATCATCATCATCATCATCAGCAGCAGCAGCAGCAGCAGCAGCATCATCATCATCATCATCACCACCACCATCATCATCATCATCATCGTCATTATCAGCAGCAGCAGCAGCATCAGCATCAGCATCATCAGCATCAGCATCAGCATCAGCATCAGCATCAACATCATCATTATCATGGTCAAAAACATCATCATCGTCGTCATCATCATCGTCAGCATCATCATCACCATGATCATCATAATCGCCTTCGCCGCCGACATTACCAGTATCGCCATCCCAATGAACCATCCCCATGATCGTCGTCGTCCCATTCATTACCGTCATCGTCATGGCTGTCGCCATCAGCATTGCCGCCGTAGTCACCATCAGGAAAATTGCACCGCCATTGTGCAACATTGTGATCGCTGTTGCCAGCGCACATCAAAGCATGCAATCCAATAGCCTCCACCCCCCGTCCAGTCATCCCGTCATCCCCCCTCCCCTCTGTCTGGCCATTGCTGCATCCATCCTTCTGTCAACCAGTCACTCCAGCAACTTGCAGCCTGGTCATTTATGCTTCCTTTCCACCCCAGACCAACAAAAACTGGAGGGGCAGGTGCTGCTGCAGTGCCTGTGCCCAGAACAGCATCGCGGTACGAGCAAGAGGACGAACACGAGACCGAATTCGAAATGCTTTGTATGGCAATGTGTCGTACCGTTTTGCAGTGCACTTGCAACTGGAGCGGCCGCTTAGGATCCTAGCCTCCCATGGAGTCCGACTAGATGGGGTCAGGGATCACAACGCATCGCCGATACATCGCCGAGGCATCGGTGATGCATCGGCGACGTTGGCGTGGAGAAAATCGTGTACCACATCGAGCGGCATCGCCGATGCAACGGCGATGCGGCGCGATCCTCCGACCCCTTCCACTCGGAATCCATTTGTGAGGCCTGGACTCCTGTGGCCTCCTTGGGGCCTGCCAAGAGACCGTTTCTCTATGTTTCACGGTAGCGGCCGTTACCGGCCCCGGCCCCCTCCCCCTTCCATTTGTTCCGCGCAGTTTTGGGAGGAGCAGAGGGGAAGCTGAGGGGAATGACGCGCGACGATTCTTTGCAGTGCCGAATGCAAGAACCTGCGATGGCCCCGGACTCGGGACTCGGGACTCGGGCAGATGGGACGAAGAGGAAGAGGAGAAGGAGGAAGAGGAAGAGGAAGAGGATGAGGAAGATTGTGCACCGTGGCTGCCAGAAACAGCAGAACCGCAAGATCGGTTGCTTAAACTCTGGCCCATGCCAGAAGGAAAAAGCACTGGCCACACTGGGGTAGAGGAGGAAAACTGAAAGGCGAGGGAGGGGACGACAGCAATGCGCGATAGGCGAGCGCGGACTTCAAGCTGCTCCGAATCACCCCAAATAGCTCGAGAAAGGCAGCCGCGGAAGGGGAAGGAGGAACACAGTACACAAGCGAGGGAAACACGTACCAAAAGAGGCCAGACCTAATCATCCCTCTGTTCAGCACCTGTTGCGCCTCGACGGCAAGGAGGAGGAGGAGGAGGAGGAGGAGGAGAAGGACGCCGAGCAGGAAGAGGAGGGGAGGAAAGGAGGAGGAGATGGAGGAGGAAGAGGAGGACGGCGCCTGCAGGCGCCAGGAATGTGCGCGGCCACGGCCCCCTCCCCTTTCCTGGTGCCCTTGCCTTTCGCGCCGGCGCCGCCAGGGAGTGCCCAGGCGCAGCCAAGGAAACTCGAATGGCAAATGCCTGTTGGAATCAGCGACGGGTAGCTGCGGGCAGCTAAGCGCAACGTCTGAGATTGTCGGGAATAGAAAATGGTATTGCTCTACCCTCTCCCTTCCCTCCTCTGCCTTTTCGTCCTCTCCCTCCTCCGCTCAATATAGTTCTCATTATTATTATAATTATTATGAGTATGCTAAACACCATTACTAGTACGAGTAATGGTAGTGTTATTATTACTAGTATGCATAGTCTATGACTATCACCACCAATATTGTTACGATTGCCATTTGCCTTATTTAACAATCGCATTTGTAAATTTACAAACAATGTCATTCGCACTGGTAGTAGTAGACGTGTTATTGTTCGTGTTACCATTGGTACTAAAAGTATGTTTACTTGTGATATCGTTCATACTCGTGTCGTTCGTTTTCTTACTCTGTGCACAAACATAAAACTATTGCTATGAATGCGACAACCCCAGAAGGCGTGTGCGACAACCTTCCTGGTTGCTCTAACACGTCCTCCTCCTCCTCCTCACCTCGACCCCAACCCCCAGGTTCCACGCTGCCCGACCCTAGATTGTGTCATTCTGCATTGCTCGACCACGCTCTCCACCTCCTTCCTGACCTCGAACCCTCCCCAGGTCTCCACATAGCCCGACCCTTCACCCAGCACAAACGTCTGGGGATGGCGTCTTCGGACCCGTCAATTTCGCGCCCGGGACCGACCAGCGCCCCCATCCTCGCCTCGGCATCCCCACCCTTCGAAACTGCATTCTTGGGACCCCCCACCCCGTAATTCCGCGCCCACAACCGACCGACGCCCCACTCCTCGCCTCCGCACCCCCGCCCCTCGGAAGTGCATTCTGGGGGCCCCCCGCCCCGCAATTTCGCGCCCAACGCCGACCCATGGACGCTCTGTTCTTGGGACCGTTTCGCCCGGAACCGACCAGCGCCCCCCTCCTCGCCTCGGGAGTTGCTAAAAAGGTGCCCCCAGGAGAAAGGGCGGCCAGGATCTGGTGCCCCCGGGGAGCAACTCGAGCCAAGAACCGGGATCGGGCGTAGACTGAATCTCCCCAAACTGCGCTGCTCGAGCCAACCCCCCGCGGCGCAGCCGCGCGGCCGTTCGAACGAACGGTCGCGCGCGGCGCCCCCCACCCCGCAGCGCCAACCTGCGCGACGACCCCTGCAAAGGCTCCCGCGCAGAGACCTTGCCAAGAACCCTGCAGTCTCCCCTGCAAAAACATGTCAAGACCATAAAAGACTCCCTGCAAAAACCTCGCCAATAACCTTAAGAAGATCTAGCACTGCCACGCAAGACCCCGCGAGAGACCCTGCAATGCGTCGCGAGTCCCTACGACTTGACCTGCGACGCCTTGGAATTGCCCCTCAATTTCTCCAGCACCCAGCCCTTCGGGCGCAGGACGCTTGAGGAATCCTGTCTTCAGCGGGGGGCCCTCTCGGACCCCTCCCGAGACTTCTGGAAGGCCCCAGGGCGCGGCCCCAAGACAAGCCCGAGAGGGCGCCAGTAGAAGCCAAACAGAGCCCGAGCGGGCCCCAAGAGCGAGCGGCCCGATTGGGACGCATGACGCATTGCGCCAAACTCCGTCTGGCTGGGTTTGGCGCGATGCTTGCTAATGCCTTCTGGGAGCTCTCTTTGGGCCCTCTCCCGGACCTCGTGGGCCCCTCTTTGAAATTTCCGGGCGCTCCTCGGGGCCCTCCCAGGCCGCGCGATATCGTTGGGGCCCAGGCCCCAATGATATCAGAGGAACAGGCTACCGCGCGATATCGTTGGAGCCCGAGCCCCAAAGATATCGCGCGGCCCAGGGAGGGCCCGCAGGGGTCCCCGAGAGGGCCCCAAAGAGTCCCCAAGACCATCGTGGGCCCACTGTGCGGCCGTCTGGGGGCTCTCCTGGGGCTCCTGGCGACAACGAAACTGGAGGCATTATTCCATCCCCCCCCCGTCCACACCCCTTGTCCACCGGCTGTCCCCTTGTTTCACTGCGCGCAGCTACACTTCCCTGACCACGGCGAGCTGCACGGGCATCTTCTCTGAACGGGGCGGCGGGGATACTTTTTTCTCGCGGGCTGACGCGGTCACGCAGTCGCCGAAGGGGCGGCGGCGGGGGCACGCGAAGCGACAAGAATTCGAGGACTGCCGCAAAGCGTCGTCGCAGCGAGTGAAGACGCTGCGAGTGGGCCCCCCGCACGCCCCGACCTTGGCCTGATCCTCGTATTTGGGCCTCCTCGCAAACCAACCCTCAGCGGCGTCACGCCGACGCTCGCGCATGTGAAGGGGCCCTGGGACACACAAATAAATACACACAAATAAAATAATTCCCCATATTTTCCCATATTTTCTGGGTTTTTGTCTTCCCCCCCACTTCCCATATTTCCCCACATTTTCTGGGAAATCGACGATTAATTGTGTCTGTGTGTTTTTTCCCCTCCTGAGCATGGCCTGCATGATGGCCCCCGCGGCCCGCCACCGAGCAGCAACCCCGGCAGCTGGGTCTGCGTGTGCCCGCCGGGAGCTCGCTCGCCCACCCGTGGGAAGACCTGCAGAGGGGCCCGAACGACCCCGGAGCACGATGACTGGCCGACTACCCTCTGGGAGACCTGCCGTCGGCGACTGCGCCGCGTTCGGATTGCAACGAAATCCCCCTCGCGCCACTGTTGCCCTCTCCCAAGTAGTTTGACGAGGCGATTTGGACGAGGGCGCGATTTCACGAATCGTAGCTTGACGAGGTTGAAACGGCACGTGACGACATTTGCCGAACTTTGGCGAACTTTGACGCGAGCGATTTTTTCGAAACACCCTCGCAAAAAATTGACGAGACTTTGATGAATGCCCTCGGGAGGCAAATCTGCTCTGACGACGGCCACTCTGTGCAAATCTTGAAACGGAGATTCGTCAAATCACGCACTCGTCTCGTCAAAATAATCCTCGTCAAACTAGGGGGCGGGGCAAAGAGACATCGCGGACTGCGCAACGGACTGCGCTGCGACCCGAACACGCCGCAGCCGCCGAGGGGGCCACTGCCCGGCACGCTCCTTCGAGCTCCCCCGAGCTCCTCCAATCCCCCCCCCCCAAGGGGCCCAGAGCGGCCCCTTGCCTTCTTGGAAATCGCCCTCCGGACACATGATTGTTCCAAGTAGGTCAGGGCCTCTGCGCCTGGAGATGTTCCCAGTTGTGTTTCTCACGAGATAGGCTTGGAGGGATGCTTTCGACCGGCCTTAGGGGCACTCTTGGGGGCCTCTGGGGCCCCCGTGGGGGCCTCTTGGAGCTGTCTTTGGGCCTGCTTGGGCCCCTCCGAGGGCCGTGGCAAGGGTCCAAGAAGGGACCCACCCGCGTCCGAGCCACATTGGTTTGAAGAGAAAATCGGCGCCTGCGGCGGGCTCGTTGTAGAATTTCTGAAACTTTAGCGCCTACGGCGGGCTTCTCCAGAGTCGCGCGGACTGCCGACGTCCCCACCGACCCCTCACTCTTATCCGCATCTGCGGGGCGCTAAGTATTATTATTCCCCCTCCTCCTCCTCCTCCTCCTCCTCCACCGCCTCCACCGCCTCCTCTCGTCGCCCTCGTCCTCACCATCGGACCCCAAGGCGCCTCACACAAGGACAGAACAACGGATGAGGGAATCGACAGGAGGGAAGGGGGGAGGCAGGCGGGTCCAGGCCCAAACGACCTGCTTGGTTATACTTGGAGGCCTGGAAGTGGGCACCAACACCAACACAGGGGGTTGTCTCCACAGGGGGAAGATGATCCCTGATTTCGGTGTTGGTGGTAATAGTTCGATCACCTTGGATGCCAGAATATTACCACTATCACCGAGATCGGGATGTTCTTCTCTCGGTGGAGGCACACCGCCGAAATTGGTGTTGGTGACAAGCTCTAGGCCTGCGATATACTTCTGTTACCGACTCGTACCCCAGGAGGGGTCTGGGCGCCCGGGGGCCCAGGGGGGAAGCGACCTCGTCGTCGTCGTCGTCCTCCTCCTCCTCCTCCTCCTCCTCCTCCTCCTCCTCCTCCTCCTCCTCCTCCTCCTCCCATTCCTCCTCCGTAAACTCCTCGTCTTGTCGTCCCATTCCTCATGATTGCGCTGCAAAGTGTGACACTGCACAACAACGTGCGCACCACATCGCCGGGGCGCGTCGGGCGCGTGCAGAATGGCGTAAGCCCATGAGATGCACACGGGCCACTACCAACGCAAGCTTACCAACAGCGCACTGCATCATTTCAAGCTGGGTGATTCAAGCAGTCCAGGAGGCTGGAAATACACGCGGTTGCAATCACATGGGGAACATGCGGAGGGCAGTTGCTGGATATACGTGCGGATGGCGGGCGTACTTAGCCACACGAGGGCCGACCCCTGGAAAGACATGCGACATACATGTGTTTACAGCTCTCGCCCAGGCTGGCCACGCCATGTGCATATAGCCGCCTGGTAAGAAACACACGGGACAAATGTCCCATGATGTTGGGTTCAGTTTTCCCAGCGAGGCGGGAACACGACGACGACGGGTGAAGGAAGAATGAGTGGGCGGGAGGGAGGAGCGAGGAGGAGGAAGAGGAGGAAGAAAGGGAGAAGACGAGAGGCGCTCTGCCGCAGCAGATGCCATAGGTATGAGCGCTCTGCCGTAGCAGATCTCTATATATAGGTATCTGCTATCCAAGCTGTCTTTGGTTATTCCTGCGCATTCCCAAACGGCGCCAGCGCGAAACGTGACGTTACTGGCCCCCTCCCCCCCTCCCCCGCTGGTGATGCCCGCTATCGCCCGTGAATAAAACATTGCTCTTCAAAGCTCTCATGTGGCCTCCTGGTGCCTTCTGGGGCCTTGCGCAACACGTCTTTCCTCCTCGGACATCCTGGCTGAGGGGCAACGATAGGGGAGACTGGCTCAGGCGGGAAACATCGACCTGGAATCGGCGATACATCGCCGATAGAGATCGGCGAAATACCCAAGATAGCGCGTCCGCAGGTTCCTGGCCAGGATGGGCTACCGTATCGGGCACCTAATGGCGATCAAAGGCGACTGGGGTCCGATGCATCCCCCCCTGAGCCCATCCCGCCCCGACGATGCCCCAAGTGATTTTCGGGCCATAACTCGGGCCGCCAGCGGCCGTTCGGGACGATCCGGACACCACCCAAACGGCCTCGGCGACGCGCAGCCGCTGGAAGGCACCCCCAGGATGGAAAGCGGACGAGAACCAACGAAAACGCCCGAGGACCTCGAACTCTGAGGGTCGATGCGCTCCCCCCCTGAGCCTATCCCCGCTGACGATGCCCCTGAGGGTCCATCCTCGGGCCTACTGGCGCCTGCGCGAGCGAACGGGGACGACGAGGATGACGGGGAAAATCGCACCGCGCTGCCCTCCCGACCCGCGCCGGGCGCTCCTGCGCGCAGCCCCTTTCGACCGCGTCTATGGTCTCCTTCCCAGCGGGGAGGGATCATCGGCATCCTCCTCCTCCTCCTCCTCATCATCATCATCAGCAGCATCACCATCATCAGCATCATCATCATCATCATCATCATCATCATCATCATCATCATCATCATCATCATCAGCATCATCATCGTCATCATCATCAGCATCATCATCGTCATCATCAGCATCATCATCATCATCGTCATCAGCATCATCATCATCATCATCATCATCATCATCATCGTCGTCATCATCATCATCATCATCATCATCATCATCATCATCATCATCATCATCATCATCATCATCATCATCATCATCATCATCATCATCATCATCATCATCATCATCGTCATCGTCATCGTCATCGTCATCATCACCATCATCCTAATCTCCATCATCCTCATCATCACCCTCATCCGCATCCTCATCCTCCTCCGAATCATCATCATGATCATCATCATCATCAGCAGCAGCATTCTTATCATCAGCAGCATCAGCATCAGCATCAGCATCATCATCATCAGCAGCATGATCACCATTATCAGAATCATCAGCGTCTCCCTCTTCCCCCTCTCCCACTCTCTCTCACTCTCTCTCTCTCATTCTCTCTCTCTCTCTCTCTCTCTCTCTATCTCTATCGTTAGAATATCTCTCTCTTCAGCTCGTTCTCTGTCTCTCGTTCTCTCTCTCTTTATCTTTCATTCTCGTTATATGTACACACGTGTCTATGTACACGTATACACATATGTGTGTATGTCATCATCATCATCATCACCAGCATCATCATCATCATCAGCAGCAACATCATCAGCATCACCATCATCTGAAGCACCATACTCACCGACCGACAGTATCGGTTATCATCACCATCATCCTGATTCTCATCATCGTGAAGTACCATCACCCTACCCCTCCCGACCACCAGCACCACCACGACCACCACCACCACCCTCCATCCAGCCCGCCCTTCCTCCCACCCCATACTCCTCCCGCTGCTCACACCCCACTCCTCATAATCCCCCGTCTTCCTCCCCATGGTCCTCCTCATCCTCCTCCTCCTTATCATCCCCATCAGCATCAGCATCATGATCAACATCAGCATCATCCGCATCCTCATCCTCATCCCCATCCTCAGCATCAGCATCATCATCATCATCATCATCATCATCATCATCATCATCATCATCATTATCATCATCATCATCATCATCATCATCATCATCATCATCATCATCATCATCATCACCATCATCATCATCATCAGCATCATCCTCATATTCATCCTCATCATCATTACCAAACTCATCCTCATCATCATAACCATCATCATCCGCACCATCATACTCATCATCCGAAATTCCATCATCATCATCACAGATATCAGAATCAGAATCAACATCTTCATCACCACCAGCATCGTCGTTACGTGCATCGTTATCATCATCATCAGCAACATCGTTATGATGGCCATCATGGTCAGCATGTTCATCGCCATCAGCATCATCGTCGCCGTCGTTGCCGTCGTCGTCATCATCCTCCTCATCCAAGTAGTCGTCGGCGTCGTAGTCGTCGTCCTCGTCGGCGTCCTTGTCGTCGTCTTCGTCGTTGTCGTGGTCGTCGTGGCCATGGTGGCAATCGTCGTCCCCGGCCTCGTCCTCGTCCTCGTCGTCGTCATCGCTGTCGTCATCTACCATATCGCCGCCGTCATCGTCATTGGCATCGCCGTCATGGTCACAGTCATTGCCATCATCAGCAACACCAACCTCACCATCATCATCACCAACACCATTGCCATCGCCATCATTATTGTCATCGCGTTCATCGCCATGGTCATAGCAAGCACCCGCAGCAACTGCATCATGGCCATCATCAACATCGTCGACATGATCATCGTCATTACCGTCATGTTTCTCACTGTTCCTCATCCTCCTCCTCATCAGCACCTTCCTCGTTCCTGTCTTTTCCTCATCGTCATCCCACTACTCCCTTGCTCAATGCACGCAGTACCTCTCTGTATCTCTCCCTGTCCCTCTCTCTCTCTTTCTCTCTTTCTCTTTCTCTTTCTTTCTCTCTTTCTCTCTCTCTCTCTCTCTCTCTCTCTCTCTCTCTTTCTCTCTCTCTCTTTCTATCTCTCTCTCTCTCTCTCTCTCTCTCTCTCTCTCTCTCTCTCTCTCTCTCTCTCTCTCTCTCTCTCTATATATATATATATATCCCTATCTCTCTCTCGCACCACCCCCGGCGCCGCAACGGGGGGGACGAGGCCCCGCCGCTGGGGCGCAGCGTTCGGTCCGCGGGGGCGCGGCAGCCTCACGCCGCCAGCCCGCGCCTCAGCTCGGCGAGCGCCCGCCCGCCGCACGGCCGTCGGCCGTCGCGACCGCGCACTCCCCCAGCTGGCTGTGCCACAGGGGCCAGGCGCGCGGCCAAGCCCGCCGCACGGCCGTCGGCCGCGGTGACCGCGCACTCGACGCGGGGGCCAGGCGCGCGGCCAAAAGTGCCCGGCGGCGGCCGGCAGGCCGGCCCGCCCGCACGCAGCCAGGGCGGCACGCCAGGCGAACCGCAGCGGCCCGCGGCCGCGTGGCGGGAGCCGCCGACGGCGTCAGCCGAGCGGCTTCCCCGCGCAGGGGTCGCACCTGCCGAGCAGACGGCTCAGGTACAGGCGCTGCTTCTTCTGCCCTGCCGTGTCCAGCGCGCCCTGCGGGATGCGGCCGCCGCAGCTCTGCTTCAGGCCCTTGGCGCGGTCTGCCCCCTGCAGCTCGGCGAAGGCCCCGCATCTGCAGCAGAAGGCATGCTGCCCCGCCTCCCGCATGCTGTGGCCGAGGTCGATGCTGGGCACGGCGATCTCGCTCTGCGGCGCCCTGCCAGCCTGCCGCCGCCGGGGGCTACGCGAGCGCCGCGCGGCCGCAGGGGGCGGCCCCGCCCCGCCTGCGGCGCCGCTGGGGCCCGGCGGCGACGCGGCTGCCGCGGCCGCCGCCAGCGCGCAGGCCGCCGCCACAGAGTGGCATGCGCCGCCTGCGCTGCCGCCGCGACTGGGGGGGGCTGGCGGGCCCCCGCCGTGGGCGGCCCCCCCCTCGGCCTCGGGCTTGCGCAGCCCTACCTCTGCCTACTGCGGGGGGCCATTGATGGCCGCCTCCGCCTCGGAGCCGCCTGCCGCCGCGCCGCCGGTAGCAGCTGCCGCGCCGCTGGAGTCCACGCCTTGCGACGCGCTCGAGCCAGGCCCCATCGGCCCCGCTGCCCGCGCGCCACGAGGCGCCGTCACATGCACAGGGCCCACGCCGCCCCTTCTCCGAGCAGCCTGTCCTCTGCATCGCCAGCCCTGGGGGGGGGCACGCCACGGCAAACCTCGGCGCGCAGGCCCGCCAGCTGCTCTCCGCGCCGTCGGGGCCCCTCAGGTCGAAGATCCAGTCCTCCGCAAAGACCATGATGGTTCGCCTCAGCAGCTGCAGGCCCTGGAGCGTCGTGCGCAGCGGCACCGGCGCGGCGCTGCTGCTGGGGGAGTGGGAGAGGAAGGGAGCGACCCCCCCCTCCCCGCCAGCCCCGCCGCCGCCCCCGCCAGGCGCTTGCGGCGGTTCGGGACCTTCGTCATCTGCGCCAGGCCGCGGCCTCGGCTGCGGCGGGCCGCCTGGCTGCGTCCGCGCCGCGGGCCCCCCGCCTCTGCCCGGCGGGGGCGCGCGGGAGCGGTTCCGCTGGGCCTCGCCCCCACTGCAGGCGGCTGCGCCCTGCCTCCTGCGCGCGCGCCTGGCCTCCAAGGCCGACGCCTGCAGGCCCCTGGTGAGCTCCCACTCGTCGTCGGCGGCTGCGCGCAAGCGCGAGCGGCCTGCCCCCACGCGGTCTGCATTGCTCAGCATTGCCGCGGTGACAGAGGAAGGCCCGCCCTGCCGCCATGTAGCCACGGAACTGGTGGACCCGCA